TTCTGTTCTTAAATTAAATTACATCGTGTGGCAGATTTAACTTGAAACTTTGAAATTTCTCAGTCAGGATGAATTTTATCATTCGACTAAAAATAGGTAGATTTTGTCTAAAACATTTTTTCATATTTGTAATAGATGGCTAATGAATGAAAAAAATCAATTTTGTTCCACACCCTGTATATGTATACATAGTTAGATCAAGGCGACTAAATAAATAATTCATACAAAAATATGCGAAGAACAAACTGAGAATTATATTCTAGTTATGTAAATGTAAATAGAAAAAATGCATTACAGGAAACATGTAAGGTTATTTCTTGGTACGTTTTGTTTGCTATACATACTACATACTACATACTACATACTACATACTACATATATGTGAAGGTACAGTTTTTTCAAATATTTTAACATTTAAAGATTGAAACAGTTTTTGGTTGTTTCCTCATTCCATATCACTCAAGCTCGATCTACATTGTCGCAGAAATGATCTTTTACGGCTTACGTCAACCAATCACGGTGCTTAATATGGACATTGTGATTGGTTGACGTAAGACGTAAGCCGGAAGGGTTGTATTCTGCGAGAATTGTATACCGACCTTTATGTATTGGTACATATACTAAACATTTAACAAACGTTAGGAGACTCTTCGAAAGCATTTAAGGAAATAACATTTATTGGGAAACTGACATTTAAAATGCGATGATACCATGTTCTGAACGACCTTTAATTAAATCAAAAACCGTAATAGCGAAGTAGTGACATTAGCGAAAAACTTTAAACTCGAATAATGCGATTGAGGAAACGCAATCTAACATTGTAACTTTAATACTTAATAATAATGCCCGAACGATCTAGTAGCGTAGGTGCAACACATACTCGATAATAAACAAGTTCCTATACACAAAGCCACCCACGTTAATTATACTGTCATTTGTAGGCAATTCCGAAAATCGATCGGCAATTAGCCAAATTGAACTATCTATTGATCTGTCAAGGTTTCCTTCTATTTATTTACATATTGTTTTTCTTGTCTTGTTGCAGAGGTGGCAACGTAGATGGTTCGTACTCTACGACGATGGCGAGCTCAACTACTCAGTCGACGAGCACGTAAGTATTTTTATCGAATAGAGCGCAAAAAAACCGTTAAAATGGTGTATCATAAGTCCAATTCCGTTCAAAAATAACGCCAATAATCGAAAAAATCATCTCCATCGCAGATTGCTTTGGAAAAGTGTTTTTCCCGTATATCTCATTTGTTTCTCACCATAAACATACCGAGTGACCCCTCCAACGAAAGCCCCCGAAATTCCCTACAACATGACCCGTAAATATACAGGGTGTTGCCCTCGAAAAGACATTTAATTAACTTTAATTTTTATTGAATAAAGCACAAAATACCCGTTAAAATGGTGTGTCATAAGTCAAAGTCCGTTAATAAATAACCCCAATAATCGAAAAAATCATCTCCATCGCAGATTGCTTTGGAAAAAGTGTTTTTCCCGTATATCTCATTTGTTTCTCACTATAAACATGCCGAGTGACCCCTCAAACGAAAGCCCCCGAAATTCCCTACAACATAAACTATAAATATACAGGGTGTTGCCCTCGAGACGACATTTAATCAACTAATATCTTCTCCACCCTTTTAGATGTTATTCTTGTAGACGCGTATCGTTGTTGTAAATCGCGTGTGATTCGAATGAACGTACACACATACGATCGGGAACCCACCTTCCTCATAAATAAATAAACGCATATAATCGAGAGACTGAGATGGAGTTACGTTGTTCGGGTTCATTGCTCGTACCACAGTGGCGAGAAGGTGGAATTTTGAACAAATATATTCTTTGAAAATTATCAAGTTTTGTAAAAAAAATCATAAATTTCAAATATAAGACTTGGGGGTGCCACAAGGTTCTTACTTGGGGCCCTTTGATTTTTGTGCAAACTCACCAATGACATTTACGTGAAAATTAGTATATCTAGAAAAAAGATTTTTTGACATTGGTTATGAAATTTGTAAAAAAAAATCTATGGCCTATTAATCATAAAAATAAAAAAAAATTAAAACGTTATAAAAAACATATCCACAAAAAGTTTTTCAGAAAAAAATTGTCAAAATTTAAAAAAATCGTCAAAAAAACAAAAAATATATTAAAATTAACACAAAATGTTTTGGGTTGCCCCAAGAACACTACGTGGGACCGTTCTGATTTTTCTTTTTCATAAATAACATTCAAAAATCATATATCTACTTTAATAACTATAATAACAAAATAAATTAATGAAAGTAATTCCATAACGACAATATGGAAAACAAAATGAACAGTTAGGTTGGTATAACTGTTGTCGATTCGGCCATTGGGAAAAAAATAACCAATTAAACTCGAAGAATCGATTGCACTTTTTTTCTTATCCGTATTTTCTTGGCGTTATTATAAAGTGAAAGCTAGTGATCGAGAGTCAAACCACATGACGAATGTACACGGTATATGTTGCGACCAATTAAATTCGATGGATGATTTTTTGTACGCGACAAGTTTCCGTTACTTTTACTTCCGATGTGCCGCAGCAGGCTTTGCCCAGCATCAATGATACTGATCGCACAGTGACAAAACACGAGTTTTCAAGCTATGCGAAATCGTTTGTTTCAAACAATCAAAAACACCCTGTATATTTTTCGTTTATGTTGTGGAGGCTGTAAGGGGCTTTCGTTTGAGGGGTCACTCGGTATATTTATAGTAAAAAACAAATAAGTTATAGGGAAAAAAGGTTTTTTCTAAGCCTTCTAAGATAAAATATTGTTTGTTGATTTTTGTCGTTATTTTTGGGCCAAATTAAAAAAATGATACATTTTTGGAAAGGTAATTTTAAAATCTTTAGAGTTTTTTCCGAAAAATAAAAATGTAAATTGTGTGTCTTCTGTGAAAGTCAACACCCTGTATATTGTTTGTTAATGTTGTGGAGGGTGTAAGGGGCTTTTGTTTGATGGGTCACTCGGTATGTTTATAGCAAGAAACAAGTGAGATATTGAGGAAAAATACCGTTTTCTAAGCCTACCAAGACAAAAATGTTTTTTGTTGATTTTAAGGGTTTTTATGGGTCATTTTTAAAAAATTAAACATTTTTGGACAGTTTATTTAAAAATATATTAAATTTTTTTCCCTAAAAATGGTATGTCTTCACTCGAAGTCGACACCCTGTATATTGTTGGTGTATGTTGTGGAGGGTGTAAGGGGCTTTCATTTGAGGGGTCACTCGATATGTTTGTTGCTAAACACAAGTGAGATATTAAAGAAAAACGATTTTTCTAAGCCTACTCAGACTAAAATGTTTTTGTTGATTTAAGGGGTTGTTTTTGGGCCAAATACAAAAAGTGAAACATTTTTGGAAAGGATATTTTATGGTCTTGAAAAATATGTAGAAAGTTTGTTCAAAATAAAAATGTAAATTGTATGTTTTCACTGAAAGTCGACACACTGTATATTGTTTATTTATTGTGTGGAGGATGTTGGGGGCTTTCGTTTGAGGGGTCACTTGGTATGGTTATAGTAAGAAACAAATGAGGTATACAGGGAAATAGTTTTTTCCAAGCCTACTAAGACAAAACAGTTTTTGTGTGTCAAAGATTGCTTCCGCATACAGTTCACTTGTTTTATCCATAAACACATCAAGTGACCCCTTAAATGAGAGGTTGTGCAACATTATAAGCACTAAGCATCTAATTTTGTCGGTTTTCAAAACACGAAATTTAAATGCGGAAACATTATCGATTCCGCTCGACTGGGTGCGTTGATTTGAAGGCGCGAGGAGGAAGTCATTGTATGAAAATGTCGACCGAATGATTTTTTGCGACACTCGCCTAGAACAATGTCTAATTACGTGTAGCATGCGACACCTTCGCTTTAAAGTACAACGAAAAAGTCTTTCTCCCGATTTACATTGAATGGACTTTGTTATTTTTTTTTGGTGATTATAAGTTATGGGCAAGACTTCCTTTAAAATTTTGCCATTGTTTTAATAAAATATGCGACGTATCAATTTTTAAGTATAGTTGATAGTTTTAAAATCACTTACAACTAATTGGACAAGTAATGGTTTGGAAATTGAAAGTAAACTACATTAACTAATTGGATAATAAAAATGCTAACGAAAGGCAATCTTTTTAAATTAATAATAAAATTAGAAAATCACAACGTGTATGCCAAGAGCAATAAATTGATATTGTATAACCCATTATTTTTACACAAACTATAGGATAGGATAGTTTACGATTATGATGTACCACGAGGAAAGCATGTTAATTAATTTTAATGGTTCTTGCCATTGAAATTGTTAACAAATTCAATTTCCGGCCCTATCTCAACATCTATGTACCCAATATTTATTTATACGCAGCTAAATGATTCAATTTAACTTTCAGCATTAAAGAAGAAAGTAATTTTTCTTAGTATTTCTCATGGTACCATGGTATTTCTTAACTGCCTGGTAAATAACACTAGTTTGAGCCCTCTAAAACTTTCTTTTTCATACTTTTGATATCGGATAAGTATTTTGACGCTATTTGTTTTTATGGCAAAAATTCAGGTCGAAAATTTACATATCGTCCTGGGAAAGGTTTAAATCAAACAGATAACTCCAGTTTGAATTTTTTTCGTGAAGCTGACATTTTTACAAAAAAAAGCCAATGTTGATAAAAATACATGGAAAAATGGCGAAAATTCAGCTTTTTGACGATTTTTATTTTATTTTTTTTCTTGTTTAGTAATATGTTTATTCTTTAATGAAAACCTAAATAAAGTGCATGATTGGAATTTTTTGAGTTTTTTACGTACTTTTTTCACCGAAAACATTATTCAAAATTTAAATTTGACATGACTCCGCACGTGAATTCTTTTTGTTTCTCGTGTTGGCGTAGTGACATTTTACTGATATTTTTTGATATTCCAACAAGGTATTTTTATCATGGTTTTATTTAGTTAATAAAAAGTGTAAAATGAGTAAAAGAAGTAGAGAGTTCGAGTGCGTAAATAACCCGCACAATCTGGGCGACGTAAGTGATGAGCACGGAGAACGTTTTCACCAGCAAATGAAGGCTGTGGAGCGGCGGTATCACGGCTTCTGGGATGCAACCATGATGGGTGATTACATTTGGTCCCTCATACGAGAAACGGAATACGAAAGGAACAAAAAATAAAGAAGGAGCCAGAATTTTTTTAAACCTATGCTTATTACCACAAAATAAAACTTTCAATTTCTTCAATGTTCAATATTTATTATTTAATATTAAATAAACAATTTAATTTTATATAATTCAATAAAATGAAGAAAAAACTTAAATATTCTCGAAAAACTGAATTTTGCTCTTCCACTGAAAAATTCATAACTTTGCCATTTATCCATGGATTTTTATCAACAGCAGCTTATTTTTTTCCTTTAAGTATAATCTATACGAAAAATAAATCAAACTGGACTTATCTTTTCGATTTCTATCTTTCCCAGAGAGATATGTAAATTTTCGACCTCGATTTTTGTAAAAAAAAAAGACTTTTTCACTTCATAAAATCGCCAGTATCGAACTACTGAGCCGATACCAAAACTATACGAGAGAAAGTTGTAGAGGCTCAATTGCCTTTCATTAAAGTGCTTGTTCGGTCAAATCGATCAATAAGAACTCGAAGTATATTCTAAAACGTCAAAACACCTCAGAACAATTATTTGGACTTTTTTTTTTCAGCCGGATACAGTTCCGCAAGGCGTGGTGGACATGTCAAAGGTGCTCGAAGTGACAGGGGCAGAACAAGTGACGGGACATCCGCATTCTTTGGCATTGACGAGTCCGGACAGGGTCACTTTTGTCAAAGCCGCGAGCAGGGAAGATGCCAGATGGTGGGCAGAACTTTTGGCTGTCTTCCCCAGGAGACACAAGAGAAATGCCACCTTTCCAGGTACGAAAGAATGTAGATCTTGATGTATCTCCCAAGTTATTAGTTTTGGAGATTCGACGTATATAACCTTTTTTGTTGGGGACTAAATTCCCTACAAAAAATGTTTATCACTTTTTTCTCTAAAGTCGACCGTTTACAAGTTATAAGCAAATTGTTGTACATACCCACCTTTCCAGGTTCGAAAGAATGTAGATCTTGATATATCTCCTAAAATATTAATTTTAGAGATTCGACGTATATAACCTTTTTTGTAGGGGACTAAATTTCCTACAAAAAATGTCAATAAATTTTTTCTCTGAAGTCCACCGTTTACGAGTTACAAGCGAATTGTTGTAGGTGGTAGGGCTTCTCCAAGCCTTCCGCAGCTGGGGAGGAGCGCCTCGCCGCAGCCTCCAAGGCCGCGCCATCTCTCCGTTTCTGGGCCTAGTCCGCGCGCCAATTTCGAGACGCCGCCCCTAAAGGAGGAGCGGGAGTCGCCGCCGAAAGACCAAACGGACTCCAATAGGCATTCCTGGACTCCCGAACGGAGTCCAGGCTTGCAGATCGACCCCCTGCCAACGCCAGTGAGAAATGGTAAGTTTTTTTTAATAATTTTTACTATACGCTAAAGAAGTATAGGGTTTTCGCAACGCGCGCGCCATCTAGTGGACTGCATTGCGTGAATTCAAGAATTGTCAACAAAACATTTAAAGCATACGAACTGTACATCATTTTTATTAAATAGGTAGTTTTTCACAAAAGAGAGTCTTACTCGACAAATTTTGTTCAATTGCACAGCTAAATCGCGCACGTTATTTGAGGAGCGTTTATTCAAAAAGGGACATGTCCATTTTAGCGATTTTCAGAAATAAGTCAAAAGCAAAAGAATTCTGTTATTTTTGACTTGTTTCTGCAAATCGCTAAAATGGACATGTCCCTTTTTGAATAAACGCTCCTCATTTGTGTTTTACGTTGCATGAAAAAAACTAGAAAACTGGTTTAGTACTCGATTTCGATTGATTATTCCTTATATCATTGATTAAGAAACTCAACGCTTAAATGCTTATACAGTTACGTTAGTGCGTGTATTTTATCAAAGGGATCATGGTGAATTATTGTGTTTTTAATTGTAAATAAAATTCAAGAACTAAATCGTTGCATTTTCATGTTTTGCCAAAGGATCCAATTCGGTAAGTACATTTTTTGGTGCAGAATTAACTAATGATAACTTTACCAAATATAATTTATATTTAAGTTTGGACATTTTTAAGAAATTAGTAAAAAATAATTTTTGCACAAACATCAACATTACAACATTAAAATCAACCATTTTTATGTTTGAGTTCTCTAAAAAACGCCGACAACTGCATTTTAAACAACAAAATATACCTACGAATTCATGGCAACATAATATTATATATGTATATGTATAATACATAATATAATGGTATTTCACCGTTGAGTGGAGACTTTCTTAATCAACGCTTTTAATAATGCTAAATGCTGTTTAAATTTAGACGACTTATTTGTTTGACGATTTTTACTGAATTGAAATGTTTACACTTTTCACGTTAATCACTACTAAAATGTATATTTATTGTATCTAATAGGTACAATTTATATTTACAGATACTGTATGCAATTTATTTCTTCATTCAGATTAACACTGTTTATTGGAAAACCGGTAAAAACTCAACCCAGGATTTCCTCTCGAAATACACCCAACAACACAACAAATCGAGCCACGGTTTTTTTTCGATATAGTAGCGATACTTCTTTAGCGTATATTTTTTTGTATTTTAAGTAGGTGCAAACATAAAATAGAATAAAATAATAAAGATTTCTAATGCTTAAAAGTCCATTTACATTTCACACCTCACGCACCTGTAAAACATAAAACAGCGATTGTTATTACCAGCATCGATAATATAATACAGAAAGAACAATCTTTTAATTTAATCATGTTGGATTTTTTGCCAATAATAATTTTTTCCGATGGTCAAAACCTGAACTATTAATTAAAAATATTAATTAAATCAAGCAATTTGCCACGAATTTATTGCTAATAATGATAGGCCGTGTTCTTTATTAAGTGATTTGGATTAATCGAAAATGTGTTGTCTGCACAAACCAGTAATTATTTTATAATAAATCAACTCTAAAAAAAAATATCGGCAAAAAATTATTTTAATGGTTCTAAGTCAAAAACCACAGGAATGTTTCATATGTAATAGTCATCTTTTGTTCAAAAAACAAAATTGTATGTCTTTACCTAAAGTCATCACCCTGTATATTGTTTGTTTATGTTGTGAAGGTTGTAAGGGGCTTTCGTTAGAGGGATCACTCGGTATGTTTATAGTAACAAACAAATGAGTTATAGGGAAAAAAGGTTCTATGCCTACTAAGATAAAATATTGTTTGTTGATTTTCGTGGTTATTTTTGGGCCAAATTAAAAAAATTATACATTTTTAGAAAGGTTATTTTAAAATCTTGAAAGTTTCCGAAAAATAAAAATGTAAATTGTATGTCTTCTCTGAAAGTCAACACCTTGTATATTGTTTGTTAATGTTGTAGGGGGTGTAAGGGGCTTTCATTTGAGGGGTCACTCGGTATGTTTATAGTAAGAAACAAGTGAGTTATAAAGGAAAATAGTTTTTTCCAAGCCTACTAAGACAAAAATGCTTTTTGTTGATTTTGAGGGCTATTTTTGGACCAAACCTAAAATTTTTTATATTTTTGAAAAGGATATTTTATAGTCTTGAAAATTATACTGAAAGTATTTTTTTAGAAAAACAAAAATAAATAGAATAGAAAACCTGGCAACATAGCAATTTCCACCTAAACTGGGTAGAAATTTAACAAATTAAAATATGATTTTTAAATCTGTTACTTGTCTTGTGTCATCTTTCAACTGTCATCTGTCAAATGTCATCTGTCCACTGTCAAAGTGTTTCTGGATATTACGTAGCATTTTATATGAATATCAATATTATTGATTACTTATTGTCTGAGGATAAAGTTGCGGTAAAATTCCGCGATAAAAGAAAAATGGCACATATCCGTTATACCAAACTCAACTATAATGTTCTTCGTGACTTTAGACACTACGTGCCGGGTGCGCGATTCTAAATTTGCAATAACAGACCGCTATCTGCTCATACACGGTTTCGTCTTAATTTTAACGCCGCAACACAAATGTTTTTGTTGCCAGATTTTGCTATTTTTGAAACTGATATTCCGTGCACAAATAAATTCAAAAATAGATGCAGTGAGTTTAACAACCTCAACGTTTACGAGGTTGGTGGCAAAACCGCAAGTTTTGCAAATGACCAATAAGTTATTGAATAACAAAACAAAACGTAAAATGTCAAAACTTCCGCATAACTATCAACCAACGCCACCAGAAGATATAAAAAATTAAATCAACAACAATTTCTTTGTTATACCCTCGACCATAAATTAACCACGATCAATTATTTGCATTTACTATCATAGTCGATGCAAATTGTGTTTTATATCGCGTAATAAACTCCCGAGCCGTCGAACAGATGCCCCTGCTTTTTATTCCATTATTGCCACGATCCATTAATCATCGCGATTTATTGTTTACCTTCACCAAAGGTCAACACCCTGTATATTGTTGGAGTATGTTGTGGAGGGTGTGAAGGGCTTTCGTTTAAGGGGTCACTTGGTATATTTATAGTAACAAACAAATGAGTTAAAGGGAAAAAAGGTTTTTTCTAAGCCTTCTAAGATAAAATATTGTTTGTTGATTTTCGTGGTTGTTTTTGGGCCAAATTAAGAAAATGATACATTTTTAGAAAGGTAATTTTGAAATCTTTAAAGTTGTTTCCGAAAAATAAAAATGTAAATTGTATGTCTTCTCTGAAAGTCAACACCCTGTATATTGTTTCTTAATGTTGTGGAGGGTGTAAGGGGCTTTCGTTTAAGGAGTCACTCGGTATGTTTGTTGTAAAAAACAAGTGAGATATTAAGAAAAAAACATTTTTCAAAGCCTACTAAGACAAAAATGTTTTTTTGTTGATTTTAAGGGTTATTTTTGGACCAAACTTAAAAAATTACATATTTTTGAAAAGGATATTTTATAGTCTTGAAAATTATATAGAAAGTAATTTTTTAGAAAAAAAGCAACATCGTAAAAATGTGGTACGGGTTCGTAGAATGCAATTAATTCAAATTATCGCGATATCTAATTCGAAAGCGAACCAATAATGCTGTCAACTTGGATTCCTTATCTTTACCTACTATTTTGTCAAAGCTTTTTCCGTTTTATTTAACTAATTTACTTAGTTTTAAGACATATTAGACAGTTTTAAGAAGGTTTTATAACACGACTGAGAAAAAATCACTCATTAACATAAAGGTGTGCTGTTTCATATGTATGAGTTAGTTCTCTGTCTCCTCTCTATAGTTTATGATTTCATATATAATTACACGTTTTACGTTGAACTATGCATTTTTGTAGCCTTGAACAGCCACCACAATAAAATGCCATTGCTATTCTTTACTTTATTCCTACATGCGCCATACGTATAAATGATATATTGTTCGCCACAAAAAACTTTTTTAAACTTTGATGTACACAAAACCATTTTAATAGATAAATTCTGACGAGGATGCATTTAAGTTTTAAATTTAATTAACATTTTCAACGAAATCGTTTGAGTTATTTATAAAAAGTTACATAAAATATATAGGATGATGATTATATAACTCGACTTCCGTGTGTTGATTTAATAAAAATTGGATATAAGTTATAATTTAGAAGAGTAGAAATTGTGAATAAATTTAAATAATATATATCTACATTTGAAAAACGAACAAAATATTTAAAAAACAGTGTATTAAAAATTTATTGTTTGTCTTCACCAAAGGTCGACACCCTGTATATTTTTGGAGAATGTTGTGGAGGGTGTGAGGGGCTTTCGTTTGAGGGGTCACTTGATATATTTATAGTAAGAAACAAATGAGTTATAGGGAAAAAAGGTTTTTTCTAAGCCTACTAAGATAAAATATTGTATGTTGATTTTCGTGGTTGTTTTTGGGCCAAATTTAAAAAAATGATACATTTTTAGAAAGGTAACTTTGAAATCTTAAAAGTTTTTTCCGAAAAATAAAAATGTTGACTCTGAAAGTCAACACCCTGTATATTAATTGTGGAGGGTGTAAGGGGCTTTCGTTTGAGGGGTCACTCGGTATATTTATAGTAAGAAACAAGTAAGTTATAAAGGAAAATAGTTTTTTCTAAGCCTACCAAGACAAAATATTGTTTATGTTGATTTTCGTGCTTATTTTTGGGACAAATTAAAAAAATATACATTTTTAAAATTTAATTTTGTAATCTTTAAAAATATATATAACGTTTATTCAGAAAAATAAAAATGTTTATTGTATGTCTTCTCTGAAAGTAAACACCCTGTATATTGTTGGTGAATGTTGTGGGGGGTGTGAGGGGCTTTCGTTTGAGGGGTCACTTGGTATATTTATAGTAAAAAACAAATAAGTTATAAGGAAAAAAGGTTTTTCCTAAGCCTTCTAAGATGAAATATTGTTTGTTAATTTTCGTGGTTATTTTTGGGCCAAATTAAAAAAATGATACATTTTTAGAAAGGTAATTTTAAAATCTTAAATTTTTTTTCCGAAAAATAAAAAAGTATGTTGTGTGTCTTCTTTGAAAGTCAACACCCTGTATATTGTTTGTTAATGTTGTGGAGGGTGTAAGGGGCTTTCGTTGGAGGGGTCACTCGGTATGTTTGTTGTTAAAAACAAGTGAGATATTAAGGAAAATATCATTTTTCTAAGCCTACTAAGACAAAAATGTTTTTTGTTGATTTAAAGGGTTATTTATGGGCCAAACTTTAAAAATGAAACGTATTGATTTTGATATAAGTTATAATTTAGAAAAGTACAAATCATTTTTAACAGATTATTATCAGAATCTTTTATATATACTTTGCTATTTCTTCTTGCAACACAACAGGTTTTCTTCTTATAATAATAATTCCGTAAAAACACTGAACATAGCCTAACAATTGGTCTCGGTCTCCGCAGTATACTCCGGTACGCTTGGTTCATTTAATTTACAACACTTGTTAACCAGTCATTATGAATACAATTTCAACTATTTACACGGGGAATTTATCGCGAGATATGTTCGACAATTACCACTACAATCGAGAAATATGTTCCACTACTACAATTAAATGTACAGGGGAACTTTTTAATCAGATTTGTTCCTACCAAACATTTGGTCTTTCGTCGATAAAAATGGCAATTACACGTTTACAGAAGAATAATAATAAGATATCTCTTTTCCTTGACACGTTGCTTCTCTGAACCGCTCCTTGATTTGCTTGCGACATCCATACGAGATGAATGTAAAACTTTTGACTCGTGAATGCCAATTTTAAATCATCTTGTTTTTGCGAAATTTGCCAATGCACCCCGGGGTGCCACAAGGCACCTTATCGGGACCCCTTTTATTTTGATTTCTCATTAATAACTCGTTCTGTATTCCAGTTTAGTTTTATTTTTTTATTAGTTTTTATTCATGGTGATTTGAAAGTAGCTGGACCGGCCTGGTGCATAAAGAGATATATCTACGTGGTCTGAATGTGTTTCTACATTTTAAGAAAAATACCAAAACTAGTTATGGAATTAATAAAACAACGAGTTTTTCAAGATATTTATTATTTCTTGTTTAATTTTATATCGGTGTGTTCAGCTTTAGTCTGTTTTTTTACACAAGTTTTTAATTACCATAATTTTTGAGAAAAACATTTTCCCTTTGCAGATTATTTAATAAGTTCTGGTTCGCCACCTACAAGGGACAAGTTGAGGTGTGACGATAAGGCTAGAGCTAGACGAGATTGGCGGAACGAGAGGTTAAGGGATATTGCCACAGCTCTTACGGATAGATCACCCGAATCTAGTCTAGCTCTGCCTTCAGAGGGTCTTCTACATCTTAAAAAGGTAACGTACCGCAAATATATGAACAAATCTATAAACATATATTTAATAATAGGGTTGGTTGTGGGTAAAATCCGATGGTACGTACGTCAAACGTTGGGTGGTGCTATGTGGACCAACCCTGAACGTCTACCAAGACCAAGACGAGCACTCATCCCCAGAAAACGTAATAGAAATGGCTTCGGTAACAAGCTACAGCGAGGTACCGACAGACACAAAATACGGTTTCGAAATTGTCTGGGGCGGCCCTACAATCACTCTAAGCGCTGTAACGCAAGGCATACGAACAAACTGGCTGCAAGCTTTGAAGAAAGCTGCACCCATAGCAGCTGAAAGCCCTGTCAGCCCAGCTACACCGAGATCTTTGCTGCTGTCTAGCGATGAGGAGTACAGGACAGCTTCAGAGGGTGAGTATGTTATAGAGTGAGGTTTTTTTTACAAACCCTCCAAATTTCATGATTCCAAGTCGCATAGTTCCTGAGATACGAGCATTTTAATCTAGCGATGCAATTATATTGATTTCTGGTAAACTATTAAACTTATATTGCTCAAATTTTAATATGTTGTAAAGTAAGGTTGTGTTTGCAAACCTTTTAAATTTTACCATTCCAAGTCGAATGGTTTCTGAGATACAGGGACTTTTGTCTTACAAACCCTCCAAATTTCATGATTCTAAGTCGCATAGTTCCTGAGATATGAGCATTTTAATCTAGCGATGCAATTATATTGATTTCTGGTAAACTATTAAACTTATATTGCTCAAATTTTAATATGTTGTAAAGTAAGGTTGTGTTTGCAAACCTTTTAAATTTTACCATTCCAAGTCGAATGGTTTCTGAGATACAGGGACTTTTGTCTTACAAACCCTCCAAATTTCATGATTCTAAGTCGCATAGTTCCTGAGATCTGAGCATTTTAATCTAGCGATGCAATTATATTGATTTCTGGTAAACTATTAAACTTATATTGCTCAAATTTTAATATGTTGTAAAGTAAGGTTGTGGTTGCAAACCTTTTAAATTTTACCATTCCAAGTCGCATGGTTTCTGAGATACAGGGACTTTTGTCTTACAAACCCTCCAAATTTCATGATTCTAAGTCGCATAGTTCCTGAGATATGAGCATTTTAATCTAGCGATGCAATTATATTGATTTCTGGTAAACTATTAAACTTATATTGCTCAAATTTTAATATGTTGTAAAGTAAGGTTGTGGTTGCAAACCTTTCAAATTTTACGATCCCAAGTCGAATGGTTTCTGAGATACAGGGACTTTTGTCTTACAAATGTTCCTCTTTAAGGTGGTCGTAGGGGTTCTGAGGATTGGAGCGAGTTGCCCCCTTCGCCCCCCTTGAGTCGGCTGACCCTCGGCAAGGTCAAGGACCGCACAAGGTTGAGGCCTAGGTTGCCGAGGTGTCAATCCAGACAGTCGACTTTGGATAGCACTTCCACGGATGAGTTGGATAGCGTTAAGGCACCAATAGACGTGGTGGAGTCGAATAACACTAAAAACTCGGAGGTTGTCGAAATACAAAGGCAACTTGCGAACGCTTTGGGCGAAGTGCAGGTTTTGGAAGAAGAAATTGCAAGGTAGGTGACTCGAAGAATGCCATTGAAGAAATCATTTTTGTCGTGTGTTTTAGATTGAAGAAGGTTCAATCGGAAGCAATGTCTCGCGAGAAGAAGAGCAAGGAGGATCTGCTGGCCACTCTGGATCGCACGGAGAAGGATTTAAACCAAAGAAACTTTGACGCCGAACTGAAGTTCCTCAAGGAACAGAGGTCCACTCAAAGGCGACTCTCTGAAGCTGAAGAAGCCGTTCGAATAAATGAAGAAAAGTGCAGTTCGCTGAACAGAGAGTTGCAAGGGAAGCAGAGAGTAGTGTTGAACTTGCAGGAAGAGTTGGAGATTGCCAACGAAAGACTGGCAAGGACTAGACAGGACAACGACAGGCTGTACAAGAAGATTCAGGAGATTGAAGGGCGGTAAGTAACAACCATTGTTTGAATGTGTAAAGCATGTAAATATAACTATTTCAGGATAACTTACCATCAAAACTACACGGTGGACTCTCTAACAGACCTGACGAACATAGATCTGGACGTGGACCTGGCCGAGATGGGCCAGGATCTGCTGAAAGAGTACTGTTTGGATCTCAAATGTCGTTTCGAGAAGGCTGTTATAGAAATCAGAGCCGTGAAACGAGAGCTACGCGAGGCCTACGAAAAATCCGACGCGCTCGAGTTGGACAACTACGGCTTGGTGAATCGGATCGAGATTTTGAGTACAGAGCACCAAGCCGAGGTCAACTTGTTGGTTGCTAGATTGGACCATTTGACGGCCAAATTGGGCACCGCCGAGAAACAGTTAAGGGTTAAATCAAAAGATAAAAGGAGGTCGTTGTCGTTGAAGGGGCGGGAGAGTTTCTCCATCAACAAGGAGGTCGAGGATAAAGTGACGGAATTGGAGGCGAAAATTTTGTCCATGGAGAGGGGTAGAACGAGGCGGAAATACAAAAGGGACAAAAGCAACGAGAGGGTTTCACCTATTGACGATAAAGCTTTGAGGAGGCTGCGACGCAAAAGTTTGGACAGCGCCACGTCATCGGAACCGATGAAGTTGCTGATGAGGTTGAGCACTTTGGAGTCCAAAGTTACGAACGTAAACGCCTCCAACGAGTCTTTGAACGTTCTCACTTCGAGTGCGGTGGATTTGACGAAGTTGAGGGAGGAAAGCTTGGAGGAAATACTGAGGAAAGCCAAGGTGAAAGTGGAGGAGTGCCTGCGTAGTTTATCGACGTTGAAGTCGGATAAACTGTCACCTCTGCACGATCTGAAGGATATTTTGAACGTGGATGTTCAAAGAGTCGGCAGTGACGAAGCGGAAGTCATTAATGTGTCCACCGTGAGTGTGGTGAAGCAGTTGCAATCCTTGTTGATGGAGAAGTTGACGGCTTTGGCCGAGAAGAAGAGATTGCTGCAGGAGAGCGACAAATTGGACGGGAAGTCGCGTTTGCAGATTCTCGCGGAGAAAATCGCGTATGAGAACGTTTTGGTGGCGAGGATACAGGAGGCGCTGGTAAACGGTTCTAGCGATGAAGTTTGCAGCAGATTGATCACCAAGGAGACGCGCGAAACCGCGCACCTCATGATCAATCTGCAAAGCAAACTCAACGGCGGTTTGCTGAAGCAGCAAGTTTCTAACCACGGTGCGGAGTACCTGGTGAAAATCCTGACCAAGTGCTTGATAAACTCGTCGCGCGGTTTCAAGTCCATCAAGAACTTCACCGCGAATAAAAACCCGTCGCTGAATATTTTGAGGGAGGAACGAGACAAGTTGGATGCCATAGTGAAGAGTTATAAGGCGAATAAGCTTCCGCACTTGGCTGAGGCTCTCGCATTGGAAACCATGAACCTAGCCGCGGATAAAACTTGTAGACTGCGGTCTTTAAGCAACGAGACCGTGGATATTCTGCATAGAACCGCCAGAGAATCTGTTAACTCGGAGTTGATTCAATCGGAGATCAACCACGTTCTTCTGCGGGCGGCTCAGGTGTACCAATCGAACATCGAGTCGGATCAAACGTTTTTCTTCAGCTTCTTCGCAGCTGAAAGAGCTGCGCTGGAGTTGTGGTCGGATTCGGTGGGCGAGTGTCTGCATTCAGAGGTGAATCAGTGCCTCCAAGAGCTGACGGATTTGTACCAAACGAGCCTGAGTAAAATGCAGAAGCAGAACTTTCGAAGGCGCGTGGAGTCGGAGAGGAACTCCAAATCCCCTTCGAACATGCTGGTGGAGTTCGCTGACATCATAGCTCATAAAGCTTTAATCGACGCCAGGATGAACGTTTTGACCGGGAGACACGCCGACTACTTCAACTGCGAACGCGAAGACTGCGATGTAACTCTCCTCTTGAACAACGACAACGATTGGGGGGCTTTGGAGGCATCCGCGCCGTTGAGTGGGAGTTTGCGGGCGGAGTTCTCCTGCATGGTGGAGGGGTTCGGGGAGGAGTGCTACGCGCTTTTGGAGGGGCCGGAGTTGGAGGAGGTTTGCGGTTGTCTGGACGAGTTGGCCGATAAAGTTCGACATCTGCAGCAGTTCGCCAACGTGGCTGTCGTCGATGGTGGGGGTGATGGTGTTGGGGGTTGGAGGGACGTCTGCAGGAGGTGCAGGAGTTTGAGGGATGATTTGGAGGGGGTGCGGAGCGTGCTGGCCAGAGGAGGATCTTTCAGAAGGTAACAATTGTTTTCACGACCTCAATTGAGGATTGTTAGTATCCGAGGTTTCGTGTATTAATACTAGAAACATTTAATATAACTGAAACTTTCTGATTAGTTTTTTTAAATAATTTAATAATTTTTATAATTATTCCTTTGTTCACTTATTTCACAAGATTTTTGAAGTGAAACTTCCATGCGTATGGGGTAAACAAAAACTTGTCGCAACGAAAGTTAAAACGCGTTACAAAAGATGGATAATTTTTAAAATTTCCAAAACTGATTCAACTGGCATGAGAAGTCAAAAATGCTTGATTTCAAAATGACGTGTCAAAAAATGTCAGATGTCAAAATATCAGGTTTAAAAAATTTTGGATGTCAAAAATGACACTGTCATCCAGTTTTCAAAAGTAAAAGATGTAAAAATGGTCAAAAATTATGGATGTCAAAAATGACACTGTCATCCAGTTTTCAAAAGTAACATGTAAAAATTGTCAAAAATGACACTGTCATCCAGTTTTCAAAAGTAACATGTAAAAATTGTCAAAAATGACACTGTCATCCAGTTTTCAAAAGTAACAGATATAAAAATGGTCAAAAATTATGGATGTCAAAAATGACACTGTCATCCAGTTTTCAAAAGTAACAGATGTAAAAATTGTCAAAAATTATGTGCGAAAAATAACATATGTCAAAAATAATAGGTTTTAAAATATACGATGTCAAAATTGTCAAATTTGTCAAAAATAATAAATGTCAAAAATGACACAGTAATTCAGGATGTCAAAAACGATTAATGACGTTTCATAAAATACAGGTATGAAAAATGTCAGATGTCAAAATGACAGGTGCCAAAAATGTCAGATGTTTAAAAAACAAAACAAAAATTTCAAAATAAAGGGTGTCAAAAGTTGTCAAAAATAATAAGTCAATTATGATAAATGTCAATAATGATGTTTTAAAAATGTCAGATGTCAAAATGGCAAACGTCAAAAATGATTAATGTCAGATATAACAGGTGACAAAAAATGTTAAAAATTACTATTCAAAAAATGTCAAATTTCAGTGGCATGTCAAAAATCACAGATCAAAAGAACGTTTCAAAAATGTGTCAAAAATTTCAGATGTATAAATCTGGGGTCTAATATCAAACAGCAAACTCCAATAATTTTTATTTGCAAATTCCATCAAAATTTACAGTTGAAATGATTTTAAAAGTAAAATATATATATAGGTAATTTTTTTTAAGGGAATACTTTAATAGGGCATTTTAAAATTTTTAAAAATGTTACTCAAATGGAGTTTGCTGGGTTCAACATTGGACCCATGAAATGACAGGTGTCAAAAATAATGGATATAAACAATGACTGATGTCAAAACTGTCAAAAATGACAGGGTCAAAACACGAATTTAATTAAATTATCCTCACATGATTTTTTTTATTTTTATATTTACATTTGTAAGTTGTTTACTTCGTTTACAAGATTTGTAAGAAATATTTTTTGAAATGTCTCTAGTATAGAATTAAGAGACGAAACTTTGGATACTAGATAAAAATCAACGTCCAAACTTGATAATTCAATTTTTTTAAATTTATTTATTACACTTTTAAAGAATACAAGATTCCATATCATGTAGGTAATATTAAATATTTATAATTAAGAGTTACATCAAAATATCACAGTAGTATCAAAATTTTACATTTATATTTACATATTATTTCTTATTGTTGTTGAGCCATATAGGTAAATTTTTTCAAGTTTTGTTGGTTTTTGACCATTTCTCACGATACATTTAGATCGGAATCTTTGGAGGACCAGCGCCCGGTCTACTTGGGAACCGAGTACCTAACGCAGGTGGAGAACCTGCGCGCGGCTTACCGCTGCGCGCTCGCCTCGTGCAAGGAGCGCCACCAATCGACCGACATCGAGCAGCTGCGCAACCTGTGCGAGCGCGTGCTCGGCTCGATGGAGCAGTGGCACCGGCGCACCATCCAGGAGCTGCGCGAGGCGCACGCGCACGAGATGCAGTCGCTGCGGCGCGACAAGGAGCAGGCGCTCGCAGAGGAGACGCAGGCCACTTTGGCCGCGCTGGACGCGATGCGCAAGGCGCACGAGGCGGAGGTGCGCCGCGAGGTGGCGCGCTTCAAGCAGGAGTTCGCGCGCCAGCAGCGCGACGAGATCGTCGACTTGAAGGAGCGGCTGTCGGTCAAGTCGCTCGAGGCCAAGGCGCTCGAGGAGCAGCTGGCGCACGCGCAGCACCACATCGCGCAGCTCGAGAGGAACCCCCTGCTCTCCTTGATGCAGGTAAATTCTAATGGGGTAGTTAAATTTTTTCTGACCTATACTTTTTATGGTTTTATTCAATTTTAAACATTTCTGTGAAATCGGAATTTCAATTGAGCTTACCGTTTTCGAGATATTTACAAAAAATATAAATTTTTATGACGTCACAAACCTCGCCATGTGACCAACATTCTAAGATTTCTATTGCTTGAAAATTACCCTGTTGTCAAGTTGTCTTGTTAATGATTGCATTCGGTTATGTCAGAAAATACCCGAAGAGGTTATGTACAAATACTGTCACTGTCAGTTGAGTGAAAGATGGTCACCAAATTCATTAAGTACCTATCTTCCTTATTACGAGGTATCATATTACTGTTTAATATTTTAGAGTCCAAGATATATCTAAAAGAATATAAAGAACTAGGCATCATACTAATGAAATGCATTTACGATAAAATATGATTATAATTATAGGTAGGTACTTACTTTATTTGTTTAAAAGCTCCAATGTTTAATGTAACCAACCATTCCACAAGATTCCTCTGCTTTGGAGTCCGTTATTAATAAATCACTTATCTAATATCAATTACAAATAACATAACAAAAACATTGATTTTCAATAATCTAAATTTAAAAAAAAAACATAACCCGAAAAAAAGAAACGTCAAAAAATCAATTCTTCTTCTTCTTCTTCTCAACTAAAATTATAGATCAAGTGGTTTAAAAACTAAAATATTATAACGGGGCGCCATCTATCGTAAGAATCTTAAACTAAACACACTGGCAACCATAGAAAAAGCTGGCAACGTTGTCAATAGCCTAGTGACGTAATTAGGAGATTTTTTTTTGTAAATATCTCGAAAACGGTAAACTCAATTGAAATTCCGATTTCACAGAAATGTTTAAAATTACAAAACGCCTTGAATAAAACCATAAAAAGTATAGGTCAGAAAAAATTTAACTACCCAAATGCCATCACCTCAATTTTTTTTTTACTCTTATCTTTCAGAACTGATGGCGTGTGTCCGATCCAAGCAACTTACTAGTCTTAACAAGCCTCATACGTATACCAGTTTTTTTTTAGATGAATAAATAATTTAGATGGACGAGTACAATATATAATCACCGTTATGTACAGATCATTGCACTTCTTCTTCTTTAATTCGTTTTTTGTTTTTAACCCCCTTTCCGTCTGATGTTCTGTTTTTATTTATTTTTACCTCATAAAAAAGTTATATTCGTTAGGTGTACAAATTGATATTAGACCATAGAACCTTTTTGTAACAGTTTATTGTTTATATGTGTTGGGTTTATATATAATATATAAAGTTATAGTTAAACTGTGTTTTATTTATTATTAATTTTATATTTTTTATATGCAATTTCAACAAAAAAATATTAATCTTTTTGGAGTCTAAATATATTAAAATGTTTGTTATTAAATTTCCTAAATGTCGGATGTCAAAATGGCAGACAAAAAAAATGATGGATGTAAAAAATAACAGGGTCAAAAAAATTTTGGATGTCAAAATGACGTTTTAAAAATAACAGGTGTCAAAAAAGCAGATGTCACATAAATGGGATGTCAGAAATTACACTGTCATCCAGAATGTTAAAAATGTCAGATGTCAAAATGACGTTTTAAAAATTACAGATGCCAAAAATGATGCATGTAAAAAATTACAGGCGTCAAAAAATGATGCATGTCAAAAATTACACTGTCATCCAGGATGTCAAAAATGTCAGATGTCAAAATGACGTTTTAAAAATTACAGATGTCAAAAATGATGGGTGTCAAAAAAATGATAATGTCAAAAATTACAGAGTCATCCAGGATGTCAGATGTCAAAATGACGTTTTAAAATTTACAGGTGTTCAAAATGGCAGACCTCAAAAATGATGGATGTAAAAAAACTAGTCATCCAGGATGTCAAAATGACGTTTTAAAAATTACAGGTGTCAAAAATTTCGGATGTCAAAAAGGCATACGTCAAAAATGATGGATGTAAAAAATATCAGTTGTCAAAAAATTTCAAAGTTTTATAAATAAAGTAAAATGAATGTCAAAATTATGTTTCAAAAATTACAGGTGTTAAAATGTCAGATGTCATAATGACACATTTCAAAAATGATGGGTGTAAAAAATAAGTTGTCAAAAAATGTCAGATGTTTTATAATTAATGACAGACGTCAAAAATGATGGATGTAAAAAAACTACACTGCCATCCAGGATGTCAAAAGTGAAATATGTGACATTTTTTTTTGACGTTTTAAAAATTACAGGTGTCAAAAATGTCAGATGTCAAAATGGCATACGTCAAAAATGATGGATGTAAAAAATAAGTTGTCAAACAATGTCAGATGTTTTATAAATAATGACAGACGTCAAAAATGAAATATGTCAAAATAACATCGTTAAAAAATAACAGGTGTCAAAATGGCTTACGTCAAAAATGATGGATGTAAAAAATAACAGTTGTCAAAAATGTTTTATAAATAAAGTAAAATGAATGTCAAAATGACAGGTGTTAAAATGTCAGATGTCATAATGACAGAAGTCAAAAATGATGTTTAAAAAATAACTGTTGTCAAAAATGACGGACGTCAAAAATGCAAAATGTCAAAAATAACAGCAAGGGATACAGATGTCAAATTCAATAATAATAAATGTCAAAATCAGAGGCTTGAAACATGTCAAATGTCAAAAATGACAGGTAAAAAGAACGTTTAAAAAATGACATGTTATTTTGGGTCCCAGCTTTGTGTAATTTTGTTATGAAAATTAAAACGAAAAATTTAGTAGGTAAGGTATATTTGGCATAAAATAATCACAAGATAAAATAACACAGACATTAGGACTTAAAAATAATATTGGAGTAAATAAATACTTTCGAATGGTTTTAATCACAATTAAATCAATTTAGGTTAATAATAACGACTTTTCAATTAAAAGCTTTAACGCTAAGCTGCTGCCAATTTCCCTAAAAACAAAAAAAAAGAAGAATAGTGGTACCAAAAATTTAATGTTAATGACTCACAGAGATTCCTGTGTCCCAACCAGAACCGGCTGGGTTAGTGGGACAAATGCCAAGTCTTCTAACCATGGCTCCTCCATTTGTAGTGGCCCACACCTCCTTCTTTCCTACACTGACGTGTTTGAAACCCGTTGAGTTAGGAGCAGCATCTAAAAAAATCGTTAATAGTGTGAAATTTTAGGTTTTTTTATGATCTCACTTAATACTGGGGGATCGACATCGATCAGCTGCCAGTGAGTCCCTTCAGGAAACGCTTTTGAAATCTCCTTTCTAACATGCAGTCTCCCCTGCAAATCCAGCGCCCAAACCCCGATGACGTCGGCGGATATCTGCCGCAGCTGCCCGCCGCCAGGGGGCTCCACACAGTGCCACTTCTCCCCCTCCAACTTATCCTCAGTCACACCTAAACGGTAAAAGGCGCAGCCTTTCCTTCCCACCGCCCAAACTTGCTTGTAAGGCCCGCAGGAAATGCTGCAAAGCGCTTGGTCGGAAGTGACGTGCTCCCACACGTGACCCTGAAAAGGGGTTATCAAAGAACGTCAAACTTTGCAATGTACTCACCATTGGGTTGCTTTTCGACACTCCGATTCTCACCATTGCCTGCCCACCTGTTGCTAGAGCCCATAAGACCACCTTTGTGTCAGCGAAATCTTCCACTGGTTCCAGACAAAGGTCCAAAAGTTTGGTGTGGCCCAATTCCTGCCAGGGGCCTGTAGTGGCTACTGCGCATCGTCTGTACCATCTTCTGCGCCTATAAAATGTTTTTACTCACATTGAAAAAATCTAATCCCTGATAGCAAAATTTGATTCTAAGAAACTTCTAAGAAGATATGACCCGGAATAATGGAATATTCTTAGAACCTTCCCTTATTGCTAAGAATGTTCTTAGGGACTTTTAAAACATTCAATAGATGCCATTTTAATGATACAATTAGATTCTTACAAGCTTCTTAAAACCTTCCTAAAAAGCATTCTAAGAACATTTTAAGAATACGTTTTTGGAATGTTCTTAGAAGGTTTCTTATGGAGCTTCTAGGAAGCTTTTGAGAATATTTTCAAATATGTCAGATACCCACGTTCTAATATGTTGGATTCTACATTCGTAAAATTCTTCAGGAGGCGACAAATACGCCTCACTGTCATAAGGTCAATTCTCATATAACTTGTTCCGATGCTGTATCCACTTATTTTTGTGAAAACTAATTCTCGCTCAATGTTTTTTTTAGTGTAATAAGCATGTAGCATTTCAAGGTAATGGGAACTTAAATTATGACAACCCTAATCTAATAATTTTTTCCTAAAATGCAGGCTTTATGTTGCAAATGTCACATAAGTTACCGGTCACCAACTGCAATATCCTAACATCGATGAATATTTCAACAAAATGGCCGTTTAAACAACTAATGTTAGTGCTTGATTAACTAAAAATAGACTTAAGATTGATAAAAAATTATTTTATCCGAAATCGGCAGTAAAGTAGTCAACAATCGTAAATTAAAATAAATCGGCAGTAAAGTTCTACTTTACAGCCGATTTCGGATAAAATAATTTTTTATCAATCTTAAGTCTATTTTTAGTTAATCAAGCACTAACATTAGTTGTTTCAACAGCCATTTTGTTAAAATATTCATCAATGTTAGGATATTGCAGTTGGTGACCGGTAACTTACGTGACATTTGCAACATAAAGCCTGCATTTTAGGAAAAAATTAATAGATTAGGATTGTCATAATTTAAGTTCCCATTACCTTAAAATGCTACATGCTCATTACACTAAAAAAAACCTTGAGCGAGAATTAGTTTTCACAAAAATAAGTGGATACAGCATCGAAACAAGTTATATGAGAATTTACCATAATATGACAGTGAAATGTATTTTGCGACATATTAATACCTATATTTTTATTTAAAAATATTAAATAAACAATTTGACCTCTAAACCACAAGTTGTATGACATTATTTCATAAAAAGTAAAATTGGAAAATTTTGTGGGATAAGTCAGATTAGATTGAAGTTGAAGATAGGATTATTATACCTAAAAATGTTAATTCAGAAATAATAAATCGGTATACAAATTAATAAATATTTATTTTTAACATAAAATAAAATATTTCCTTATAAAATAATTCTTCATAAAAGAAAAAACCAAATAGTTCTTCATAAAAAAAACATTTTTCATTGTATTTAAGTTGGATAGAAGATTTTATGTAAAAGCCGGATAATTTAGATACCTATAGGTAGTAAAAGTATTTTTGTTATCGAATATTGTTTTAATTTGACAAATAACTATAAAAAATATTTTGGGTTGTGTTTTTTACTTAGCATTTAATACTAAGTATAGGAACCTTTATACGTAGATTATGGTATATTTTACTATTATATAGGTACCTAACTGAACTGAATATGCTTAACAGAATGTTCCAGGAATATTCCTAAATGAACTTTCTATAGCAATTACTTTCTCAACATTCTAAGCATATGTTTAGAGTGGATTAATTTTTACCACTAAACTTTGCACCTTCTAAGAACCTGCCTATAGGCCAGTGAGAATATTCTTAGGATAATGCTATATTTCTTTTAAGCATGTTCTTTAGAAGAAATATAGCATGATCCTAAGAATATTCTCACTGGAAGGTTTAAAAACATTCTTAGAATAAACTGTGCTATTAGATATGACTTGTAACTTACCTGACGTAGTCGGTAAAGTGTTTGTTGGCGTGGTAGGTGGCGGGAAAATCGACTGCGTATTGCCACCCGTCGCCGTCAACCCCCCCAGGTACGTGGAAATCCGTCATCCAGTCCGACTGCCACTGCCATCTCATGGACAACAGTTTCACTTGGTCTCTGGTGCGTTTTTGCTTTCCTGTGGAGTCGCTCCACATGTATCTGTCAGTAGGCAAACCTACAAAAATGTATGATTGGTTCATACGTGTTTTTATGGACTAGGAGGTAAAAAAACGTTACCCGATTTGTCTAAATTATTTTTACAGCCTTTAGTAGTGAGTGTTGACAACAATAAAGTTAAAAGTTAAATTATAGAATGCTTAAAGAAAAAAGATTTTATCCGAAATCGGCAGTAAAGTAGTCGACAATCGGCAGTAAAGTAAATTTTACTGCCGATTTAATACGAGTATTGTATGCAACCCATTATACATTTTAAGATGTGTCTACTGCTCCTCAGCTGCAACTAAATAATATTTTTTTAAAAGTACCGTCGCGGAGGTCGAATGGACCCTTTCATAAAATGTTGTTTAATAAAAATAATAAGCTAATTTTATTAATTACATTAAAAAATCGCCGCGGCGGGCAAATATATAATAACCGTCGCAACAAACAGTATAAGTAGACACTTCCTACATTCAAATGATTCATTCATTTGATTTGATCATCAAATGATATTTGATTTAATCATCAATTTTAATTATTAGTATTATTAAATGTGATTTCGGATAAAATTTAATATGCACCTCGGCATTAAAGTCATTTTTTATGACTAACGTGATTATTTGCCTGGGCTTTCGCCTCGCCAAATAATTTCCACATTCGTGATAAAAAATACGACTTTACTGCCTTGGAACATAAATAACTATTATCGAAAAAAATCAAAAACAAAATACAAAAGAATATGAAAAAATTCTTGTAAAATTGTAAAAAAATAAAATCATATAAAATCATAATTAATGAATAAAAACTAAAATTTTGTACAAATACTGAAATAATTCTTAAAATTGATAAAAAATTGTCTAAAATTTAATATAAATAAACAATCTTCAAAATCTTATTAAATTATTATTAAATTATTAAAGAAAAATTAAAAATTGGATTTTTTTTCAAAAATTTTGCAAAATACCCATATTATAAAATAGAAGAAAATCACAAAAAAATAAAATCGTAAAAAAATATCAATGTGAATTAAAAAAAAAACAATTGAAATGCAAAAAAGTCTTGTGAAATGGTAAAAAAACAAAATCCAAAAAAAATTGAAAACCAATTTTAAATAAAAAAAATCTCCAAATTTAAAAAATTATATACCTAAGTGTAAATTAAAAAAATTAAAAAGAATATGAAAAAATTCTTGTGAAATGGTAGAAAAAAACTAAAATCACAAAAAATCTTTTTTTACAAATCCTGTAATCTTGAAATAATTCTTAAAATTGATGAAAAATCGTCTAAAATTTAATAAAAACCTCGTGAAATAAGTACCTAGTCAAAAATCCTTGTAAAATCAGTAAGAAACAAAAAGTAGTAAGTTAATTAATAAAGAAAAATTAATAATTGTAAATTGAAATTAAAAAAAAAATTGTGCAAAATCCAATATAAGGTAGGTAATATCCCTTTAAATTTCTTAAAATAGAAGAAAATCACAAAAACAAAAATCGTAAAAAAAATAAAAATGTGAATTTAAAAAAACAATTAAAATGGAAAAAATATTGTGAAATGGTAAAAAACAAAATCCAACAAAATGTCAAAACCAAACAATTTTAAATAAAAAAATCTCCAAATTTAAGAAATCACAAAAGAAATAATTCTTAAAATAAGTAGTAATTTAAGTAGTCAGAAATCTATGTGAAATCAGTAAAAAAGCGAAGTAGCAAGTAAGAAAATTACTAAAGAAAAATAAAAAATTGGAAATTGTGTTAATTCCAATATTATGTAATTTTCAATTTAAAAAAAAAAAAATCAGAAAAATACAAAATCGTAGAAAAAATAAAATTGTAAATTTAAACAAAAAACGTTAAATATGCAAAAAAATCTCGTGATATGGTAAAATAAAACAAAATAAATGTTAACCAAAAATGTTTAAATAAAAAAGTACCAAAAATAAAATTAATAAAGAAATTGTGTATAATCCAAACAAATCTTGTTAAAAAGTAGAATCCTGTACTGATTCTCACTACCCTTCAACACTGAAAAGTTACTCCAAGAACATGACAAAAAAGAAGAACGACACTTCAATGAAACATTTACCAAAAAAATTTAAAATGTGTAAAATTTAAAATCGTGTAAAAACCAAAAATTAGAAAATCCAAAAAAAAATAAAAATCGTATAAAAACTCGAAACTTCTCGAAGAATTCTGTAAAAACCTTGTGAAATTAAAAAAAAGTAAAGTAAAAAAAATCTTGTAAAATAGTAAAAAACCCTAAAAAATGTCATAAAACAAAAATTTTAAGAAATCTCAAAATCTTGTGGAATAAGTGGGTAAAATCGAGGGGTCACCCACACCTGGGAATCCCTGGACATTTTAGAGGGGGAATACCATAGGAATACAATGGAAATACATAGGAATACAATAAAACATAATGGGAATACATGGGAATCCCTGGACGTTTTCCCTTTGGGTGGTTGACCCCTCGGGTAAAATACTCGTTCTAAAAACGTACTACTCTCACCTGCAGAAGTGTATCCAGTAACAGGATTCCACCGCTGATTCTCGTAGACCTTGTAGTCCTGACAATCGGTCATACCGTGCACATTCTGACTGTCCAGCGTCCCCAAAAACCCTCCCCCCCAGCCGCCAGTGTACACCCACGCGGTGTGATCGTAACCCACCCCCCACGTAACCCCCACCTTGCACGTCTCCACGCGCCGCAGATGACCTCCAATCTGCCTCCAGTACATGTCCAGCGGGTTGAGGATGATCTCCGGACTCTTTATCGTCAATTTGAAGGGCTGTAGACGCCCCCATACACTAAAATACGAAGCTGAGTGGGGCGGCAAGCGATGGCGGAAGGTTGAGTTTTTCTTGTCGTCTATGTGTATCACGAAAGCGTCTTCAGTAGCTTCAATGCAGATTTTAAACTCCTGGCCCCTTTGCAGCGCGATTTGTTCGTCCCTTTCCTCCCCTCCCCACTTCCCCTCTATCATGGCGTTCCTAACTGTCACCCCCTCTCTGAACCGTGGGTTGAAGTGAAGGCATATGTTCTCCAATTCGGTGTGTGCTTTGTGTTTTAGTTTGTAGGTGGGTTCCGATTCCAAATTGACTCCTATTCGATCGGCATCGTCACCAACGCAACCTGTGATGGTGATTTTAGTCCCTGGTATGCACCCGGTGTGTAATTTAACTTTATAGGGGCTCTCTTTACGACTTAAATCGTACTTCTGCACGTAGCACTCATCCTCCCGTAACTGGTAGCTCTCTATTTCCGTGGGATCCCATATGAAGACGTCGCCCAGATTCGAGACGGCCCATACGCTCTCGTCGCCCACTTTGCCCACCACCTGGTGCAGTTTACCGCACGTCGTGCTGAAATGCGCTTGCCACTCTTCTAGCTGGGTGTCGCTGGCGAACTGGAAACGCACCAGAGGCGGGTTGTTGCGCGGTACGTGCACGGCCAGTCGGGGGTTCCCCGGCTCGCTGCACAGTTGCACGCAGTTTACGTCGCTTAGAGCGAAGGAATTCTGAAAGAGAAAGTTTTTTCTAAGAATTTATAAAATGAAGTTAATACTCGGGATCAAAGTTTTGTTTTTATAGTTTTGTAACTCGTTGAAAAATAATTACTGTCAAATGAGTATGACATATTTTTGTAGGAAATATACCGCTCTACAAAAAAGTTTTGATGTGTTTAATTGATTACTTTAACCGCTGAGAAGATATTCGTATCAGTACGCAATGAGATTCAGATTTGGAAATTGAAATTAAAAAAAAAATTGTGCAAAATCCAATATAAACTTTTTAAAATAGAAGAAAATCTCAAAAAAATAAAAATGTAAATTTAAAACCAAAGAAATTTAACTAAAAAAACTCAAAAATTAAGAAAATCGCACAAGAAATGATGTAAAAATGTGTGAATTAAAAAAATCCTAAAAAATATAAAAAAATTCTTGTGAAATTGTAAAAAAAACTAAAATCATTAAAAATTTTAATTAATTTTTTTTTTCAAATCTTCAAATAATGAAATAATTGATGAAAAATAGTCTAAAATTTAATAAAAATACTTGTGAAATCAGTAAAAAAGCAAAGTATATTACAGAAAAAATAAAAATTATAAATTATTTTTTTTTTAATTGTGGAAAATTCAATATTATTCCCTTTTAATTTTTTAAAATGGAAAAAAATCACAAAAATATAAAATCGTAAAAAAGATTAAAGTGAATTAATAAAAAACTTTAAAATGCAAAAAAATCTTGTGAAATGGTAAAAAAAAATCCAAAAAATTTAACTAAAAAATCTACAATCTACAAATCTTTTTTATTACAAATCTTATCTGTAACTTGTTTTCTGTACTTATACTTTATACAACTTTGTATTTTATAGCAATGCTAATAAATATATATTATTATTATTATTATTATTATTATTATTTGTTATATGAGTGTAAAAGAATAAATAAACACAATAAAAGTTATAATATTATTTTCTGTATTTTTTATGCCACTTTTTGCATTTTAAAACTAGTTTTTTGATATAACCTAAATTCCTAACCAACAAACATTATTGATTTTTTAATCTAACACTTTTGAACTGAACGTGCGCAATAGGTAGAGAATGGTAAAGAAAAATGTCAGATGTCAAAAATTACAGGGTGTCAAAAATGAAATATGTCAAAATGACGTTTTAAAAGTTACAGACAAAAATTTAAAAAATATGAACAAAATCTTGAAATTGTAAAAACTAAACATTTACAAATAATCTTCAGGGTGTCAAAAATGGAAAATGTCAAAATGACGTTTAAAAAATTAAAGTGAGATGTCAAAATAGCAGATGTCAATAATGATGGATATGAAAAATAACTGGTGTCAAAAATTACATCCAGGATGTCAGATGTCAAAATAAAATATGTCAAAATGACGTTTTAAAAGTTGGACAAAAATTAAAAAAAAAATGAACAAAATCTTGAAATAGTAAAAATTAAACATTTACAAATAATCCTCAGCGTGTCAAAAATGGAATATGTTAAAATGATGTTTTAAAAATTACAGTGACAAATATGTAAAAATGGCAGACGTCAAAAATGATGGATATGAAAAATAACAGTTGTCAAAAAAATGATGTCAAAAATTACACTGTCATCCAGAATGTCAATAATGTCAGATGTCAAAAAATCCTGTAAAAACTTAAAATTAGAAAACGTAAAAAAATCGTATTAAATCTTATTAAATTTCAATCTTGTCAAAATTTTTTGTAAAAACCTTGAAAGTAAAGTGGAAAAAAATTAAAATCTTAAAAACGAAAACAAGGTCATCCATTCAAAATACAGAGAATAAGCGGTATATGTGTGGTAAGTATATGTCTTACCATTGCAGTGGCGCCATCTGGGTTCAGAACCGTCAAAGTACCTATCGACTGCACCCACTCCAACTGCAGAATGCAGTCTACAAAAGGGCCATTCCCCATGCTAAATCTTGCTTCGCCGGAATGTACCCAAGACGTCGTATCAATCGCATGTTCGTAGTGAGTGTAGGCGTCCACATTTACGGATCTAAAACATGTAAGTTGTAAAAAAGTATCGGGTTTTCGCAACGCGCGCGCCATCTGGTGGACTTCGACAGCATTGCGTGAATTTAAGAATTGTCAACAATACATTTAAAGCATACGAACTGTACAAGTCTTACTCGACAAATTTTGTTCAATTGCACAGCTAAATCGCGCACGTTATTTGTGTTTTACGTTGCAAGGAAAAAATTAAAAAACCGTTTTAGTACTCGATTTCGATTGATTATTCCTTATCGGCCATTCCAAGCCCATGGACAGGACACATCAGAAACATGTCTAAATATATTCTTGTTACTTCCTTAAGTTTACTTATTTTTTCTACGAGTATTTATGAGAAGTATTACCCAAATTTGGCTAATACTTCTCATAAATACTGGTAGAAAAAAAAGTAAACTTAAGGAAGTAATAAGAATATATTTAGACATGTTTCTGATGTGTCCTGTCCATGGGCTTGGAATGGCCGTTATATCATTGATTAAGAAACTCAACGATTAAATGCTTGTATAGTTACGTTAGTGTATGTATTTTATCAAAGGGATCATGGCGAATTATTGTGTTTTTAATTGTAAATAAAATTCAAGAACTAAATCGTTGCATTTTCATGTTTTGCCAAAGGATCCAATTCGGTAAGCACATTTGTTGGTGCAGAATTAACTAATGATAACTATACGTAATATAATTTATATTTAAGTTTGGATATTTTAAGAAATTAGTAAAAAATAATTTTGCACAAACATAACCTTAAAATTAACCATTTTTATGTTGGAGTTCTCTAAAAAACGCCGAAAGAAACAAACCTCTTCTACTCACCTCGCCTTTAATTCACTTAAAATCTGAACCCTCCATGGTTGTTCCAACTCCATCTGGCTATTCCCCGAGGTACCGTCAACAAACCAGTTCGGTAAGTTGTGATTTTCCATGGTGCAAGCCCCGGCTTCCACCCAAGACCACGGCGCTTCATACTCAGCCCAACCTAAAAGAAGAAGAAAAAAAAAGTCCAAAAAAATGTCAAATTTATTGACTTCTTTAACTTCTCACATAGCTCTTCGTCTTCGGCGAAGATGCACGAGTCTCTGCTCGACTCGCTCCACACGCTCTCGTCGGTTTCCGGGTGGCATTCGGTGCCCACGATGGAACCCACCGACTGCACGGGGTTCCACGTTTTAGCGTGGCGCGGCTCCGTCTCGAATTTCGAGGTTAGGTCGCCGACCGGAAGCGAGGTCGGCCCCATCGGCGCCGAGTGCGATTGGTCGTCGATCTCCGCGATGTTCGACTGTTCGATCATGCTGCTCGGCCTACTTTGCTACAGAAAAGCGAAACATTCACTTACAGCGTCGCTGACTTAATCTGGTAGCTCTCAAAGAGGCCTCATCTTTAATATCATTCTTTTAAAGTTTTAATGTTTTATTTAGGTTTTTTTAAAAAATTAAAAATAAGATTAATACTTATTGTGTAGCGAAACAACATTTATACAATTTTGAGTTTTAATATTTTATACTGGGGTCTTGCTAGAAGTAGTAATAGAATTTATATCTTGCAAAAATGTGTGTGTGTCGTTAGGGTCCATAAAGAACCACCTGAAACTTTTTTTCTCTAAATTCCAGACTAAAAATAATTTATAATAACCTTTATCCTACCAAAAAGTACGCCACTGATCGACTAGGAACTTTAGGCTAATCTGGTTGCCTAATTTAATTTATTATGTTACGGTTGGCAACAACTAGCGTTTCCAGATTCTGTCAAAAAAGTTGCCAAATTTTGTTTAAATTCAGCTATATTACAAAAATGACAAAATCAAAAACGCAAATTTATTTCATATTTACCATTTTCTGTTGTAATTCTGTGATTAATAAATTATTATTATTATTATTGTTAATTTAATAAAAACATAAATAAAATAGTGAAACTTCAAAACAGTGTTATTTCTTTTCATATTTAAATAAGTAAAGGTCGAAACAATCAACAATTTCATCTTTAGGACGCATTTGGAATTTTAAATAGTTTGTACTAATCATTTAAAATAAAACATATAAAAAAGGGTGGCATTTATTTAAAATCGTAGAAAAGATTAAATTAAATTAATAAAAAATTTTAAAATGCAAAAAATACTTGTGAAATGGTAAAAAAAACAAAATCTAAAAAATTTAACCAAAAAATCTTCAATCTTCAAATCTCCAATTTTTTCTATGGGTGTAAAAGAATAAATAAACAAACTGACGTTTTAAAAGTTACAGACAAAAATTTTAAAAATATAAACAAAATCTTGAAATAGTTAAAACTAAACATTTACAAATAATCTTCAGGGTGTCAGAAATGGAATATGTCAAAATGAAGTTTTAAAAATTACAGTAAGATGTCAAAATGGCAGATGTCAGTTATGATGGATATGAAAAATAACAGGTGTCAAAAAAATTATGTCATCCAGGATGTCAAAATGACGTTTCAAAAATTACAGTTGTTAAAATGTCAGGGGGTCAAAAATGAAATATGTCATAATGACGTTTTAAAAGTAACAGACAAAAATATGAACAAAATCTTGAAATAGTGAAAACTAAACATTTACAAATAATCTTCAGGGTGTCAAAAATGGAATGTGTCAAAATAACGTTTTAAAAATTACAGTAATGGTAAAATGGCAGACGTCAAAAATGATTAATTGAAAAATAACAGGTGACAAAAAATGATAATGTCAAAAATTACACTATCATCCAGAATGTCAAAAATGTCAGACGTCAAAAATGTTGGATGTAAAAAATAAGTTGTCAAAAATAACAAAAAAGACGTAAAAAAATATGAGGTTTGATTAAGTAAAGGTCGAAACAATCAACAATTTCATCTTTAGTACTCATTTGGAATTTTAAATAGTTTGAACTGATAATTTAAAATAAAACATATAAAAATGGGTGGCATTTATTAAAAATGTTGTGAAATATCACAAAGTATTTTTTCTTGTACTTACAAAGAAACTCTTTGGATATTTCTGCAAAGAAAACGGATTAATGTAATTCATTGGGTTATTGTGGATGTTAGTTAAAATGTGGGGTGGAGAACACCCGTCCTTTCAACAAACTCACCAAAGTATTCAGACTCCTGTTGTACTTCCCGTCCCCCCTGCTCAAACTGGCGCTGCTGCTGGCTCTGCTCACTTGCAGGGGAGCGTGCAACGAGCGCCATCTTTTGCCCGTCAAATCCTCCGGGCAAACTCCCGTCCGGAAGTACACGAGGCGGTCGTCGGCTCCCACTGCGAAAACCTGATCGTTGGCGGAGACCGAGACTTCGGCCATTCGGCCCACCATTTCCACCCAGCCGCAGCCGGCTGCCAATTCTTCTGACATCCCAGCACATTCGCCTTTTACCCCTTTCCTGAGATATTTAGTTTTATAGAACAGTTCATTCAACACGATTTTCCTCCCATGAAAAACTTAATCACCTCATTTAAATTTATAAAGTTAAATTTTTTTAAACTCAAAACAATTGAAAGTCAACAAAATATTTTAAATATAAATGCAACAGTAACAATTTATGTTTAAAAATATTGATTTTTAAAAGTTTTGGTTATAATATTTTATTCTACAAAATTATTTGTTTAAATTTAAATGATTTTAATACAAAAATTCTCACATTACATTTAAATGTAAGTTTTAAATTTTAAAGTACTAATTTTTGGATTAAAAATTTATCGACAATCATTTAAATGACTCTTTACAAATTTAAACCAAAATTTTTTATTTTTAACAATTTTAAAGTTTTAAGACAAAATTTATAACTTTACATTTAAATGTAAGTCGATAATTTTTAAATTACAAAGTGTAAATGTAGCTTTAGTAGAAGGCACAAGAGTCTGGGATCGGAGCCACGATGCAGCCAGATTGATCCGCAGTGTTACAAAATCGTGCTTGCTCCATAAATATTTGACGCGTTTTACAAATTATCGTATTAAAATGTTTCTTTATCAAATAAATTTAATTATAGAAAAACAGCATTTTTAGTGCCTATTGTACTAAGATAATTTGATAATTAAAAAACATTTTTTCTAATTTTTAATCCACAATATTACGTGGATGCAACCCTATACCTATAACTTATAGGTTATAGGTATATGGATGCAACATACAAATTCCCGCTTTCCGGCTTTTGTGGTGAGGTTAAGTGTTAAGCCTGATTTATAGATTGCCTTCCTTCCTTCCTCCCGTAGAAGATGAACAATACAATCCCGTACGGGAATCTATAAACGGCACTGGGAATTTGTATGATGCATCCACGTAATATTGTGGTACCGCATTTTAAAATTTTTTCTCTTAAAAATTAGAAAAAAATGTTTTTTAATTGTCGAATTAACTTAGTACAATAGGCACTAAAAATGTTGTTGTTCTATTATTAAATGTATGTAATAAAGAAACATTTCATTACCATAATTAGTAAAACGCGTCAAATATTTATGGAGCAAGCACGATTTGGCAACACTGCGGATCAAACTGGCTTCATCGTGGCTCCGATCCCAGACTCTTGTGCCTTCTACTAAAGCTACATTTACACTTTGTAATTTAAAAATTATCGACTTACATTTAAATGTAAGTTATAAATTTTGTCTTAAAAATGTATCAATTTAAAATTGTTAAAAATAAAAGTTATTGGTTTAAATTTATAAAGAGTCATTTAAATGATTTTTAATGCAAAAATTACCACATTAAAATTTAAAACTAACATTTAAATGTAATGTTGAAACTTTTGTATTGAAAATTTATCGACTATCATTTAAATGACTCTTTACAAATTCAAACCAATAACTTTGAAAAATAAAATATTAAATTTCCATTTTTAAAAATCAATATTTTTAAACTTAAACTTTTACAGTTGCATTTTATATTTAAAATATTTTTTGATTATCATAGGTTTTGAGTTTATAAAAATTTAACTTTTTAAACTGTTTTGGTAGAAAATGTTTTATATGTGTTTTTATTTTAAATGGTTTGATACTATTTTTAAATACTAAAAAATTTAACTTTACCAAATTAATCTCAATAATTTTATAAAATATTTATTTAAGTTTACACTATGCCACCCAAATAAATTATACTTGGGAAATTATTTTTATTAAAAAATGATAGTTAGAAATGTTTTCAAAAATTGATAGAAAATATTATTGTTTAATTGTATTAATATATATTATTTTTAAAATCTATAGTAATTTTTCATGGTAGGGAAAAAAATCAAATTTTGTCGTACTGTGTAACCATTAATTAATAAAATTACACTCACCTAAACCACACTTGCTTGTCATGCGTTACCCCCCACACGGAACAAACTCCCACGGACACCTGACATAACCTCAAACTATCCCCGGGGCTCCTAACCTCCACCCAGGTGTCCCCCTGGTGGTTATCCCTGGTAACCCCGCTCCTAACCAGAGCTCTGCCGTCCAAAACGGCTGCCCAAACCAATCCGGTGGGTCCCACGCTCAGTTGACACACTTCGCAGCCAGGGGGCGTTTGTACGTGCGACCACCTGGCGCCCTCTGGCGACTTGTCGGAGACGCCGGTGCGGAACATAACCTTCAAGTTCCATAAAGGTTTTTATTTGGTTATAAGCTAAAGAAGTATCGAGTTTTGCGTGAATTTAAGAATTGTAAACAATACATTTAAACATATCATTTTTAATGCAAGGAAAAAAACAAGAAAAAACTAAAAAACTGGTTTAGTCCTCGATTTCGATTGATTTTTCCTTATATCATTGATTAAGAAACTCAACGCTTAAATGCTTACATACTTACGTTAGTGTGTGCATTTTATCTAAGGGATTATGGGGATTTATTGTGTTTTTAATTGTAAATAAAATTCAAGAACTAAATCGTTGCATTTTCATGTTTTGCCGAAGGATCCAATTCGGTAAATACATTTGTTGGTGCAGAATTAACTAATGATAACTTTACCTGATATAATTTATATTTAAGTTTGGACATTTTTAAGAAATTAGCAATAAATAATTTTTGCACAAACATAACCTTAAAATCAACCATTTTTTGTTTGAGTTCTCTAAAAAACGCCGACAACTGCATTTTAAACAACAAAATATACCCAAGAATTCATGGCAACATAATATTATATATAATACATAATATAACGGTATTTTACCGTTGAGTGGAGACTTTCTTAATCAACGCTTTTAATAATGCTAAATGCTATTTAAATTCAGACGATTATTACTATTATAATAGCCGGGTGGAGGCGCTACTAGCGATACTTCTTTAGAACAACATAAAACAAACAATACATACTCTGTTATGAGAAGTTACAGCCCAAACTAACATGGTGCCAGGGCAGGCCCCAGCGATTTTCTGCCCGCCTATGGAAACATCGATAAAAGGCTCCTAAAAAAATTTTTTTTTTTTCAAAAATTTTTTTTTTCAAAAAAAAACATACACTTGTGGCATCTTGATGCAGCGGTGCTATGGCACACCAAGTGTTCATGGCACTATATCGCCTGGACCTCTGCCATAGCCTCCTGCGAACGCAGGATTTCCACTGCTTCTTGGGGGAATACTGGGCGGGAAAATCCACAGCGTAAGTCCAACCGTCGTGGTCCAAAGGTTGGCCGTTCAAAGTCAACTCTACTTTCCATTTTCCCTCCCATTGCCAAGCCATCGACGGCAGGGTTATCTTGTCTATCGACCGATTCACAGAGCCATCTATGTTCGAGTGGTTGTAACGGTCTGTGGGGAGGAGTCTCGACGTGAAACCTTCGATAGGCAACCATCTCTGCAATAGAGCATATTTGGAGTGTTTTTATTTTTTTTCATACCCAAGGTTCAAAACACTTTAAAGACCTTGTAGAAGGCGCGTGACGTCATAATGTTATAGCAGATGTGTCAAGAATTACAAATAAATGTTACATCCGGTTTTTGGTTATGTCCATTATTTTTTATAGTATTTAAATCGTTTGAAAGTCGAATTTTAGATTTTGAAAATATTTTGTCAAAGAATTTGGTTCTCCTTGGAACTTTTATTTTTGCGTATATCATTCGTAAATCTTGACACGCCTACTAAATTTTTTAAGTGACTTTATGTCCCAACCCCATTTTGATTAAAAACAATAGGTATATGACATACAACTGCTAGAAACAAAAAAAACAATATATGAAACACAACTGCTACAAAAATAAAAAAGAATTAAAATCATAAATATATATACATAATATGTATATATTATATATAATATATATATTATATATAAACAATAAATATATCATTGTTTTTAAAACAATGACTTTTTTCTTTTTGTATGTTTTTAGAAGTTGTGTGTTTCAAAATATTCTTATAAATCTTGTAAATATAAAAACAATGTAATTTTATAGCTACATATACATTTTATAAATTATTATTATTAATAAAAAAATCGTGCGAAGTCACAAAAAAATAATTATTTAAAAATCTTGAAAATTCGTATTAAATTGCATAAGGAATTTAAAAAATGTTGTAAAAGAGCAATAAATCCTATTAAATAAAAAAACTATAACTTTTTTTATAACTTTGTATAACTTTTTTTTCTCCTTGTATGTTTTTAGAATTTGTGTTTTTAAGAATATTCTAAATTTAAGATTTATAAAGCCGCGTCCAGATTTGTACCGCGTCGCGCAACCGTACCACGTTGCGAACCACGTCGCGCGCAATCTGGACGTCGAAACGAACGCCGTCGCGAACCTAATAAGCGTTGCAGCTCGAGGTACGTCGCGATCCACGACTTGTCGGTAAACTGACGAAACATCAAAGGATTGGTATGCGACGACGTTGAATAAGTCTGGACGGGCAAAAGGACAATTTTGTTTGTTTAGTTTTATTTTGTGTTTGAAATGGAGTGGACCGAAGAAAATATTCTACTTTTAATTAGTTTATATAGGCAAAATCAATGTTACAGCTAGTCTTTCTTGCACTGAGATTGCTTTTCGAAACTTGGTATCTTGCTTTCCTATTTTGGGCCCAATTGCATTAAGAAGATATTCAAAATCTATTGTTGACATTTGAGTGAAATTTTTATATTGACCACTAATTCTTTGCATCTTTAAATCTGCAAGCAATTTGTTCGCACCATATTTCGGTCTATTTCTAAATATTTCTGTTTGCCACCACCGCCTTTTTTGTTTTCGCTTTTTAGTTGATAAAGCGAAATGAATATAAATGTACGCTGCTGCAGCGATATCCATTTTAAAATCTGACTAAAAATTGGAACGCGGCAATGGTTGCAACCCGAGGTACGGTATGTTGTTCGAGGCGGCGTACGTGGTTGCGGGATGAAATTCGCGTCGTGGTTCGCAACGTGGCTCGCGACGTGGTACGGTTGCGCGACGCGGTACAAATCTGGACGCGGCTTAAGAATATTTTTATATAAAAACAATGTAATTTTATGGCTACATATTTTATAAATTATAATTATTAATAAAAAAATCGTGCGAAGTCCAAAAAAAATAATTATTTAAAAATCCATAAGAAATTTTAAAATGTTAAATAGCAAAAAATCGCATTACCTTTTTTTATAATTTTGTATACCTAACTTTTTTCTTTTTTTATGTTTAGGTATAGAAGTTGTGTGTTTCAAAATAATCTTATAAATCTTGTAAATATAAAAACAATGTCATTTTAGAGCTATATATTTTATAAACTATTATTATTAATAAAAAAATCGTGTGAAGTCGCAAAAAAACAATTATTTAAAAATATTGAAAAATCGTATTAAATTGCATAAAGAATTTTAAAAATGTTGTGAAATAGAAAGAAATCTTATTAAATACAAAAACGCGCAAAACTTTTTTCTTTTTGTATGTTTTTAGAAGTTGTGTGTTTCAAAATAGTCTTATAAATTTATAATATAAATCTATAATGTAATTTTATATTACCTATTTTATAAATTATTATTATTAAAAAAAAATCGTGTACCTAGTCACAAAAAAATAATTATTTAAAAATCTTGAAAAATCGTATTAAAATCCATAAAGATTGTAAAAATGTTGCAAAAGAAAAAAAAATCGTATAAAATAAAAAAACTTGCAAAACTTTTTTCTTTTTGTATGTTTTTAGAAGTTGTGTGTTTCAAAATATTCTTATAAATTTATAATATAAATCTATAATGTAATTTTATATTACCTATTTTATAAATTATTATTATTAAAAAAAAATCGTGTACCTAGTCACAAAAAAATAATTATTTAAAAATCTTGAAAAATCGAATTTAATTCCATAAAGATTGTATAAATGTTGCAAAAGAGCAAAAAATCGTATAAAATACAAAAACAGTATATAGGGTGTCCATTTTTCAAGGCTAAGCATGGGTATCTTGACTATCTTACCTTGGCAGTTTTTAAAGCTGTCAAAAAGATTTTGGGAATCCCTTTTTTTTAATTTAACTACAAATGTATCTCTAAAAATACTTTGCCTTAAAATATAATAAAATATTTAATAAATGTCATAAACATAATGCAATAAATACCCTTATATCTAGCTTAAGTTTAGTGTAAAGGAACCAAAAAAACAAACCTCATTCTCATAAGACTCCTCCACAACCCTTATCGGGATATCCAAACCGTGCACATAAACATAAATCTGATGGTCTCCGCCTAGAGCCCACAAAAAGTGGGGCACCCCGGACAATTTTTTAAACTCCTGGCCTGCATAGGGCAGCTCTCGCCACATTGACCCCGTTGTCGACAACGTGTGAACCCTCCCCTCATTATTTATACCGAACAGCAACGAACTAGGCATTTTTATCACTTGTTATGTCTATTAATCAATCATTTAAACGCCAAGGTAGCTGCAATTTCGCACGAGAATCATTTGTTTTGTGTTTTGTTTCTCTAACGTCACTCTGACAGCCGTCAAATCGCCGTGGTGCGTTTGAACTACTTTTCGTTTGGAATGCCGCGCCATCTATGCCGCATTAAAAGAAGTTTTGACAGAAATCTGCTGTTTAAACTTTCAGTAGTACAGTAATTTTTTGATAGATGGACATAGTATTTTGATTTTTATAAATATAAAATTATTAAAGGTTATTTAAATATATTCTAATGAGGTGAAAAGTTAATTTGAGATAAAATCTGAGTTAATTTAAGATAAAATCAGCCGTCAAATCGCCGTGGTGCGTTTGAACTACTTTTACAATTTTCGTTCAAAATGCTGCGCCATCTATGCCTCATTAAAAGAAGTTTTGACAGAAATCTGCTTTTGAAACTTTTAGTACAGTGATAATTTGTTAGATGGACTTGGGATTTTGATTTTTATAAATATTAAATTATGGTAATATTAAATGTTATTTAAATATATTCTAATGAGGTGGAGAGTTAATTTGAGATAAAATCACAGCGTCAAAAATAAGGAAAAAAGAACAAGGGCCGGTTAATTAAATTTCTTTGTTTCGGCTGTAAAATTAAATTCGTTTAAATTGCCGGGACCGGTTCCACTACGAAAATTAATGCACCCGAGTCTTTTTCAAGAATTTTTTTGGCTTTTAATGTTACAAAATTTCGGACATGTAATTGACATGTTATATGATTGGGTACCTATTGTTTTTTTGCGTGTTTGGGATGTGATATACAAAGAGGTTTTTGCATTTTGCGCAGCGGGTGTTTTTGGTAAATGTACGAGTCTCATCCATCATCATCATGAACAATGCAGGAGGAGAATGCGATGTTTGAGGGGTTCAATATTTTATGTGGGTTACTGTACCACCAAGTTCTTAAGTTTTTTTGGTATTTACATTAGTAAATGCAGTATTTAATTAATATAACACAAAGAAGAGTTAAAATAAGGTTGGTACTTACTTTTACTTTTCAATTTGAAGACTAAATACAAAATAAATACAAAACAGTAGGCCGTGGCGACAAATTACGTGGTGCCAATATAGTAAAAACAAAACGTTGTATTTTAATTAACAAATTACAAATTTGTTACGAATTAAATTATCGTTAAAACCTAAAATCAATGTAAAAAGTAAATAATTAACAATACAAATTGTTAATTTGCTGTTATAATGGCAAAAATAAGGTTTAAAACTGTCATACTTTTGTGTTTCTTAAGTTGTACGCACGAAATATAAAATTGACAGTTTCAAAAAGTGCTTTAGTGAGAGTTCGAGAGTTTTTTGAGATTTCCATAAAAAATATAAAAAAATCTTAAATTTATTATGAGTTTGTCTGATGCCTCACAAAATCGTAAGTTAGATATTTTATGAAAACTGTTCAAATGGAGAAACTATAGTATACACCCAACAACACACCTTTATTATGATGATTTTCTTAAGGTTTGTATACAAACCTTAAGAAAATCATCATAATAAAGGTGTGTTAACACAATTGTGTTGTTGGGTGTATTTCGATAGGAAATCCTGGGTTGAGTTTTTACCGGTTTTCCAGTAAACAGTGTTAATCTGAATGAAGAAATAAATTGCATACAGTCTCTGTAAATATAAATTGTACCTATTCGATACAATAAATACACATTTAAGTAGTAATTAACGAGAAAAGTGTAAATATTTCAATTCAGTAAACAAATAAGTCGTCTAAATTTAAACAGCATTTAGCATCATTATAAGCGTTGATTAAGAAAGTCTTCACTCAACGGTAAAATACCATTATATTATGTATTATACTTTTAAGTTTAAATTCTCTAAAAAACGCCGACAACTGCATTTTAAACAACAAAATATACCTACGAATTCATGGCAACATAATATTATAGGTATAATAATACATAATAAAATGTTATTTTACCGTTGAGTGGAGACTTTTTTAATCAACGCTTTTAATAATGCTAAATGCTGTTTAAATTTAGACAACTTATTTGTTTGACGATTTTTACTGAATTGAAATGTTTACACTTTTCACGTTAATCACTACTAAAATGTGTATTTATTGTATCTAATAGGTACAATTTATATTTACAAAGACTGTATGCAATTTATTTCTTTATTCAGATTAACACTGTTTATTGGAAAACCGGTAAAAACTCAACCCAGGATTTCCTCTCGAAATACACCCAACAACGCAACAAATCGAGCCACGGTTTTTTTTCGATACTTTTTAACATTTTCCGGCTAGCTCTACTTTTGTTACGATGATAACAGCCGAGTGGTGGCGCTACTAGCGATACTTCTTTAGCGTATATAAAATCTGCGGTAGTTCGCCTACATCGTTTTAATCGCGTGAGAATATGGAGCAGCGACTGGCCTCGCGAGTTTTTCGGTGGTTGGCCTTGACAGTGAAATAACCATGGCAAGGCGCGATCCAGCGAAATGCCAAAATGCTGCTTCTTCTTCTGCCTATTCGTGCATGCACTTCGAAGAACAACAACAACAAATTCGAGCGATGTTGCCGATGCCGAAAAATTGCCCGCGGCCAGACCGGATGTTGCGTCTTGAGAATTTGATGAAAAAATGTTTGGCTCTGGCAATGATGATGATTTCTTAATGATTTTTCTTTCCATTGCTTTTTGTGTAATAATAAAAAATATATGATTTTTTTAATTTAAAATAAATAAATAAATTTACCCCTTAGTTCCCTAGATTTTATATATACAGCGTGTCCACTAATTTGGCAACATATGGAAAACTTTTTTATTATTAATTTTACGAAAAAAAGTTATTCTTTATAAAAATTTCTACATGTTCTAAAATCTAAAATAAATTCATTAGATATATAATTTTTTCAGTCATATACGAGGTTTGACAAAAAATATGAATGTACAATATCCAAGCAACATTTTAAGTTTAAAGTCAACTTTAAGTATTTTTTACGATTAACCAAAACAAATTTATAACGGTATAGATACGAATAATTACCAAATTTGGGGAATGGTTTATTTTGTTATTTTACCTAGATAATAGCCTATTTGATCTTTTAAGAGAATAACGTAAAAAAACAATATAAATACCACAAATTTACGTAAAAATAACGCTATAATTACTAACTGTTTGCTCTCTCTTTTTAAAACATTGACATTCGTAATTTCTTTGTTCTTTTAATTTATATTTTACAAAATGGTACTTACAAAGTAATAAAGGCCACCCTAGAGTAAAATTAAAAAATATAACGTAAATTGTCAAAACCAATAATATTTTGCATTCAAACTCAAACGCACATTATTTTATTGATAAAAATAGGCACGATACATCTTAAAAATTATATGCTCTCTAAATACTTTACGGTTTTATGAAAAATTAAAACCTACAAAGTTTTTTAAAATCTTTTAAAAATCATTTAGTTTTAATTTTAATTTTTTAATAACTAAAACTTATTATATTTTAGAAAAATATTTATGAAAAAATATAATATAGTCAATATTAATAGTACTTATTACCACTAATAACCCTAAAAAATACCAGGCGAATAGGAATTATTTACGGTTATAAAGTGGTCTTAATATCGTAAAATTATGACTTATGAGTAACATTTACCATTAAGTAAAAATTCTGACGTTAAAATTACCTTTAGGTGAAATACACTTATAAGTAATTTTCTTTCGTAAAAATTACGTCCCTCATAATACGTTGAAACTTAAGGGTTATTAAAATAGGTAAAAATAACATAAATAAATCTTAAAAAAAGTTTTACTTCAAAGTAATGGAAAACTTGATTTTTTTCTGTTAATTCACATCTCTTCAAATAAAGATTTTAAAGGGGTGTAAGAACCAAACCAGGAACTCAAAAACCAGATTTAAATTTAGTAAGCTATATTTCGATGCTATCTATATTTCTAACAAAGTATCCAATTTGTTCATGGGTACATTAGTTGAAATATATTCCCATACCCTTTCTGGCGAAAACATATACATACATATATAGAGTAACAACTAGTTGAAACCCAGAAACCCAGAAACGTCAGACCGAAATTTGAAAAGCAGGAAACAACAATATAAGGAAGTACGGAAGCATTATAAGTCGTAAAGTGCTGGGGTGTCGATACGGGTTAAAGGTTGGCCGCTTACCTGGCCAAGGGTCAAGCCCAAGGGGTGGTCCACCCCTTTCTTAACACCGTGACAGTAACATGATTTAGATATTGCTAAAAAGTGTAACATGTACATTTAATTAGAATTTGAATGCTTCTTGACCATCCCGAGGATTTTGTATACAATATAAATTAAAATGATGGCATTATAATGTGCAGTAAATTTATTTTAATAGTTTGGGGTGTTCCCTACACCATACTACAACAACGGTTAATCTTTTATGTATTATTTATTTTACTCGCTACCCAATTGAAACTCAATCGGTTTACTCGACCAGCTCCAAATTCGTTTAAGAAATGCTTTACTCTTCTTCTACCATTGGACAAGGGTCCAACCGAAATAATTTCGTTAGTTAATTCAATACGTTTTTATAATTAGACCCAAATTCGACCACCTCTACTTCAAACGAAATCAGTTACAAGAAGTAACTCAAAACCGTTAAAAAGTGCCAGAAATAGTCAAATAAGCGAAAGGTAACTTTTTTTTAATCCAAACGGTTAAAATTGTTAAGAATCCAACGGTTATCAGTTACATTTTTTAATATGCATGTAAACCTAACTCATTTTGTTAATTATCATTAATTATATCATTGATTAAGAAACTCAACGCTTAAATGCTTATATAGTTACGTTAGTGTGTGTATTTTATCTAAGGGATCATGGTTAATTATTGCGTTTTTAATTGTAAATAAAATTCAAGAACTAAATCGTTGCATTTTTATCTTTTGCCAAAGGATCCAATTCGGCAAGTACATTTGTTGGTGCAGAATTAACCAATGATAACTTTACCTGATATAATTTATATTTAAGTTTGGACATTTTTAAGAATTCTTATATATAATATTATGTTGCCATGAATTCGTAGGTATATTTTGTTGTTTAAAATGCAGTTGTCGGCGTT